ATACGTGGAGCAAGAGAAAAAAACACGAGTAAAAGAGAAAGAACGAGAGAAAAATGCAGTCGGTCAACGGGTCGGCCTCGCCAGCGGTATCATAATAGTAGAGTGCGGTTTTTCACCCTCTGGCATTGTAGGATTTTAAATGAGATTCATTATACTCGAATCTCGTCGTATTAGAATACAAAAGGCGCGAGAGAGCGAAATGACCCTCGTGCGTGCTTTCATACGCAAGAGGCGATTTTTACTTTTAATTAAATTGCCATCGATACCGCTAATTATTTTTCGCATACTTAACCTGGGCAGGGAGAATAATTCTCTCGAATTCTTGTTTAATCAATCGATACACGCGGGCTTTTCGGCTATTTTATTTTATTTTTCTGCGTGAATGAAAGAATCTCGGCTTCGTTAATCGATACGCTCTTGATTAATGAAAGCGCGAGGAATTTTGAAAGAAAAATCAAATTGATGATTACGTAGCAAGAGTCGTCGATTAACGTAGCAGCACGTCGAGGGCAAAAAGTAAAAATTATTCTTGTTCGGTGCAAGGTAGAGCTCGACGCTGCTATATATAGATATACACGTAAAGGCGCGTATATAGGTGACCGCTTGACGGCGCAGAAGGGGACAAAGCGAGCTTAATAATCGCTGAACTAGAAGTAATGCGCACAAAAACTACTGGCACATAAAGTTTATCGAACGATTCTCAATCCTTTTTATATACTGGCGTTCCGTCATTAATTCGTAATTTATTAAATTTACTGTGTCTTCCATCTTTGCGCAGTACAATTAAAATGACGCAGTACTCGAGGCAATTTTTTTCCCCTCGGATCTGTCGGGGTGAAATCCGAGTAAATAAAACTTTTCAATTTGAGCCATCTCTTTGTGTCGGCAGCTCGCGCAGGTGTATATACGTATATATTCTTCGCAGCGAAAGATTTTCTTAAAAGGAAAAATAAAAAAGAAGAATCGAGCTTGCAAGAGTCGTGTTCACATCACGCGTTTCAATTTTTCAAGATTTTTAAGTTACAGCTGCGTATTGATAGTGGAAAAGCGAGTTCGCAGGCTGCGCGTCGTGCAACGCGCGCGATGTGATCGCGCAAACCGCACAACATAAAATCAGGAGAAACGTCGAGAAAAGGCGGTATACACACGGTGCGCCCGACGCGTATGTGAGTCGTACTACACATCTCGCGTAAAAATACAACCACATGCAGGTCAGCCGTAAGGAATACATTGGTGTGTGTATACGCGCGTGTGTGGCTAAGAAGCTTTTACATTTGGTGAGCTTCCAACTCGGACTGCGCGCAGCAGCAGCACTCAGGGCGCTCATTCGGTGCAGTGTCCGCCGCCACCTTCGTTTCAGCAACTCACACATACCCGCACACACAAACATACACTCTAGCAATTTATTGCCAGCTTCGCGGCTGCAAGCTGTAAAGGAGAATATTATGACCTACACACGTGGATTTTCACGACTCTCTTGCTCTCTTGCCGCGTTCGACGTATACACGTATACGTTCTCGTTTGTTTCGGCTGTAATATCGCCGCGAGTTGTGAGCTTGTATTTTTAAGCGCAAAATAAAAGAGAAAAATAATTTCTATACAGTGTTCGGGGGCGAAATTGAGCCACGTGCGCTCGGCACAGCGTCTTATATATTTATTAGCTTAATAGAAATTTACTAGGAAAGGCCGAAAGTTTTCGCCCCCGTACTTCGCCGCGATGATGCTGCGCGTATCTTATAAACGTTATACGTACGCCGAGGTGAATTTAGGCCAGCTTCTCCGGGGCATATTACACGCGACGACGAAGCGAGAGAGAGACTTTTCTTGCCGTCGACGTTATTAATTCGGATAAGAGTTATATTACGAATGACGCGCCCGAGAACACGATGAAAATATCATGAATATCATTGCGAAAATTGCTGACGAGCAATGCTGAAACTTGCGGCAGCGGAAAACGTTCGGAAAGATAAATTCTCGCGTTCAAATGCTGGGCGTGCTTGTCATTTGTACGAGTCTTTCGTACATTGTTAAAAGATGCCATCTCTTTCATGCGATAACCCAAGAAGTGCGGGCGTACATGTAAAAAGTTACACAAAAATTGCGATATTCGCCGAGGTCTATGTAACACTATACGGTCTCAGCCAAGATGCGTATCGCGATTTTTCCAAATTCCAACTTTGCGTATTTTCACGCGTGAACTCGTCCGAAGAGAGAGAGAGAAAGAGAAGAAGAAAGAGATATTCGGGCAAAGGCTTCTGCGCGAATAAGCGCGTGGTTAAATTCGCTCTTGGATCTCGGAGGAGAATACGCGCCTTAATCAAAGTCAACAAGTATGTGCACGTAATATTTCGTAGCCGCATAACCACGCCCAGATTCGCCGCTGCTCGGTGCGGAGACCGCACCGAGAGCAGCCCCGCGTATATATGTGCACATATAGTACACGTTATATACGCGTGCACACGAGCGACGCAGGCAAATAGGAAAATACAAAGTATCACGGTGTAATATTCTTGTGTGTACCGCGCGCGCGTATACCACCGCTGCAGCAGCAGCAGCAGCAATTGCTTTATGAGTCTAATATGTACAATACCCTTCAGTCTTATATATTCATAAAATAAGCCGGAATCGTGTAGCGGTGCTGAAATAGTTCCTGGATTGATTTTCCGACTGTGCGCCCGTTAATTATCTATTCAGAGAACCGATGCCATATTTAGAGGCTTTGTGTGCATAGAATGACGAATAGTTGTGGGTCGGTATTACGAGTCATCTGGGAATCGTTTCATTGGGAGGCGAGCCCGAAATTCGGACTTACAAGTGCTCATCGGTACTTTGTTTGCGATAAAGTTTTTTTCTTTCTTTTTTTTTCTTGACCCTCTCATCATCGTAAACTTTTTATCCACTGGGGTGCTTGTAAATTTTTTCAAGAAGCCGCGAGTGATTATGACAGCCCATTACAGCGTTAACGAGCTTTTTTCTACTCTCGTTTCATAAGCCTAAGTGGTGAAATTGAATTCTCATTGTTTATATATTCACTCTCATAGTTGTCGCGCCGACTTGAATTATTGCAGTGGAAATGTAGGTTGAATGAAAAAAAAAAGAAGTGCGGCGGCATGGGAGAGTGAGAGAGTGGCGATAAATCAAAAAGGGAACCTCTATTAGCGGGGCTGCCTTGCATACATATATACGTACTGTGCAATCGCTGCGAAATATAATACGCTTATCTGTGCACGCGGCCTCTGAAGTAAGTGTTTTCAAGGAGTAGAATTGCTGGCCTGGCTTACACGTGCGCACACGTTGCGCACAACGTCTCGAAGAAAATATTCAATTATCGCTCATTCGTTATCTGCCTAATGCTACGTTTTATTCCTGCGAGCACAAAAAACCTGCAGTATAACAGTTTCTAATTAACAGTCGAAATTCACTTAATAAGGCTTAAATATAGACTCTCGAATCTTGAGTGACTGGCTGGCTCTCTCTCTCTCTCTCTCTTGGTGCATGCGGTGCATCAAGCTCTAAAATACCTCGCGCTCGAATCCTCCTAAAACCTTCTTAAAAGCCAGCCCCGAGACGAGCGTAAATGTATACATGTATACAGCGAGGCAGTGGGTGACCTCTTTTGTAAAGCCTCGTCGTCGTCGTCGTCGTCGTCGTCGTCGTCGTTGCCGCGCTGCCTTATTTTTGAAGCTTAGCTGCCCCAAACAGGACATGATATATACAATACTTTGGGATATAGCTCAGTGTAAAACGGAAGGAGGTGCACTGGCATAAGGGCCGCGCCGCGCGCACTAGCAGTAGCAGCTCGCAGCTATACACTTACGATATGGGCTTATTTACGAGCGCTTCGGGGGGATTCGCCCGTTTCGTTTGTCTACGTATACAGTATATACCTATATCTGTAGGTAAGTACGATGCGATGGCCTCGGTTAAAGTAGAAGAAACTACCGCAATTAAAACTCCGACTTTTCGAGCAGTATACGATTTTATTCGATATCGAAGTGCGCGCGAGTTTTTTTCAATGGGAAAAATTTTCGGGCGCGTGCTTGCGCTTGCATTGCGCGCGAGACGTACCGTATATAGATGTATATATAACTGTATATTTAAGCCGGCAGCAGTAGAGAACGGGGATGGGGGCCACTAAAAGTTTATGGGGCAGGTGTGTGCTCAGTGCGGTGCGGTGCGGCGCATTGGCGTGAGACTCCGAGGAACGTGCCGCAGGACTTTCAGGTGCCTTATACTGTATAAGCTGCTTTACTTATCGACCATTTCAGACGCAATCGAAGCAAGTTTTATTGCGAAATAATATTTTAACCAACTGTAAAGTTTGACGGAAAGTGCGATATCGAACGCGCTATATATAACTTGCCCAGATATGACAATGAAAATCGCATAAATTTTACCAAGTGTAAGCATTCCCAACAATCTGTCTTCTTGTATAACTTGGCTAGCGCGAGATCTCCGTTATATGGACGATAAGAAACGAATCTCTATGACGGGTTGGATAATAATTTAGATGAAAAATAAACTTTATACTCGAAGGGTGATCGCGCGTCTAACAAGTGCACAAAACGAGCCACAGTCTTTTAATGTATAAAATCTTCTTTTTGCAGATACGCGTGACTACTTGCTCTACTCGTAGCGTGAAGAATGATTGAGTAATTCGAAGGAGGTATGCAGTTGGTTTCTTGAATCATGAAGAATTATGATTACCAATCCAATGGTTATTAAGTGCAGAAATGCGATATCCGCTTAAAATTACCCGAAGCGTCATCGCCACCTGACAAGACGCATTGCGTCACCATTCCTCATAACGCATCGTTCCCGAGAGGTTAATGAACTCGGCACATAGCCGCGCATACCCGATAAAATTTCCAATACACATGTAGCCGCGCGCATACACCGCGTACTTGCAGTTCGAAAGCGGCAGTTGCTTTTTAGCAGCGATCTAGAAAGGCGCATAACGTATAGCAGGGGTTGATAACGAGGGCATCGACTTTACTTACCGCAGAGGCAGGGCTTGACTGGCGCAGTTGTTGTTGCTCGTCGGGGGTGGTACAGCAGGCGCCTGACAGCAGCACGAGTCCACCTGTTCATGTCTGCAGTTGTTCTGATGGGGTAGATTCTGCTGCTCCCGCTGCCGCTGTTGCTGCTGACACAAGTGCGTAAGCTGCAGCGAGCTGCGCAAGCTGCCCGGCAGATGGCGATGCGGCGTTAAGGGCTCGCTAGAAAATTCAAAATAATGCCACGGTTACCGACAAATTTATCCAATGATCGTTGAAGATCTATCTTTACATAGTTTTTTCAGTGGATCAATCCGATATGAATTTACCAGTTAACTCTTTCTTAAATCTAACCGATCAATCCAGATGATTTTTCACGATTGCCGGCGCGCACCAACAGCTGCATGCGCTCGAAAAATAAACCGTTTCTGCTTCATACATGCATGAACTTTTGCGTAGGGTGCCGTTGCACGCACATACCTTATACCCGTACTCGAGAGCTAGCTGCAGTCTCGGTGGCACAGGTGTGCACGCGGAAGTTCGCGCGCTGCGCGGCACGTACATAGGATTCCGAAATACGATTTTATCGGCCAACGATGTAGTACGTCCGAGAATGTATAGTCCCGCGCACAAAAAAACACACCATATTCTCGCACAACCCGTGTGCGAATAATACATTCGCGAACGTATAGAATTCAACGTACAGGGCCAGCATAACCGCCCACGTTTAATATTATTACCGAGTTATTATCACGTACAACGTGTTACGATCTTGCGAAAAAATCGGAGCCCGTATCGTAACAAGTACCGAATTAAGCCCACGACTACCGCGCGGATCCCTCCGATTAATCAAGGAAGCGTATACATACACGTGAACGCGCGGGGAATTTCGTTCGAGGAACACACGGCCGATTAATTTTGGCTTAATCGTCTTTATATATCAATCATCCTTCGCTGCGTACTTACACACCGAATGTTAGGCAGAGTTTCACACGCGGACACCGAACGATAATCTCCGTACACCGCGCGCCTTCGTCATCGTCTCACTTAGAACGAGCATGAGAGGAAGAACGGAAAAAATCAAAGTCACGCTCCGTATACATATTATATACACACATATAGAATTACGAGATCACGCTTGATGTATCCCGAGAGCTGTATACACATCGAGCTCGTGTGAGCTCGCGTGAATCTCATAATCGATAAGAGGTAATAACGAATAAGGATTTTTCAATAACTCGGACGCAGTGTACGCTCCACGGCATATCAGCAAGCCACGAAAAAAAGAGAAACGCTTTACAAGAGACCGAGATTTTTTCCGGTCATTAGCCATAGAGACGTACATAAAGTATACAGGCAGCGACTGTGCAGGTGCATCTCTATTTTTATAAAATTCTATGGTACGAGTGCGCGCGTAGAAGCGATGCATCTTTGCGGCTTCCGGAACAAATATCGCACCTCGCGCCGGAGCTGCGAGGGGATGCGCGCATATATATAAAACTGAAAATAAAACTAGCTGCCTTCCTATGCGCTCGCGTGTATGGTCGCGCGACTCGAGAGAGAGAGAGAGAGAGCGGATCTTCGCATCGGAAATGTGGAAATGAAATATTTTCTTATTCGTGCGTTGGGTATGTGAGCTCTCTCGCGAGCTAGCGCACAGGGTGATGACGACGACGTTTCTCTCTCGCAGCAGCAGCAGCAGCTCAGCTTTTATAAATTCCCATAAATTTCACTTCTTCGCGCGCTCGACGTGAACAGGTGAGTATAAATATACACTCGCGGGGTTTCGTGGCGCCGCTGCGCGAGTGCCTATACGTACCCAGCATATAGGTATACGTATGCTGCGTACCTATATATATATACAATGGGTACATAATGGCTGCGCAACGTCGTGCGTGTCGCTGTGAAGGATGGCCCAAACGCGCCGCATAGCATAAAGCAGAAGTGAATGAACGAGTTGAACGAATGTGATTCAGTTTTCGCGCGTATAAATAGAATAGATGCGTGCGCGCGCGGAATGTCCGATTAATTATGCGGCACGTATTTCTGAATTGGAAAATATGAACTGTGCGCGCGAAATCTAACGAGTTCGTGGTCCATATATCGCGCTTTATTCGAGAGGAAGGGTCAGTTTATCGCTTGAACGCGCTCGCGCGCTACAACTAGTGCTCCCGCATTTTTCTCTGCGTGAATGCACGCGCGATAGCGACGAAAGAACAACCTTAATTGGTATTTTTAAATCATACGTATAGCCATTGTAAATTAGAATAATTTTCTACTTTGCACGCATCGAGTAATCTGCGAGAGCGAGAAAAAAAGGTATATAGTATCTATTCAGTGCGAGAACTGCGCTTAAAGCGCACAAACGCACTGTACGCAAACCAACCGGTGAATATTATTACCATAATGATCGCGGAGGTAATGTCAGTGTGTACCTGTGCACTAATGGAAATATCGCGCTGGTTGGTGGCGCGCGAGAGAAAAAAACTCGCAGAAGCGTGCCACGCATAATTTAACGTTGAACTGTCTCGTACCTCGTGGAAATTAATGGTCGTAAGCTAATCGCAAAATGTACACGAAATTTCGGCGCGTATATTTGTAACGATTAACCAACTGCGAAATACAGCTTCATTCAAATCGAAAATTATTGACTTGTTTCGATGAACAAGTCCATTTATAATCGTATAATAACGAGAGATGCGTCAGAAAGGAGCCTCTTGCTTCAGTCTCACGATTCTTTCCACACTTGCGGTCGTTATAATTTTCCAAGGTGACAGTCGTGACGGCGGCCCTCTAATTTTCTGCGTGATAAACGAGAAAAAAAACTAACAACAGTCGCTATCGGTCACGGTTACGATCGCATTAACAATGGCCTCGGAAAAGCTAAATATGACGAGCAGTGGCGTCAACGGCGACGAGAAAAACATGCACACAAAAGGGAAATGATGCCTCACACATGGTAGAACCTGACCTTGAACATACGCTCGCTCTGCATTCGCGTTCTGTTATTATAAAAAATAATGATTACCGCGTGCAGTGTCATTTTGTCAGGAAAGAAAGAATCTAATACTTTAGACTTCCGAGTGTAAGGCAATCCGAGTCCAAAAATACATTACCAACGTAAAACAATCACGAGGAGGCGTGAAGGGAACTGTACACAATGGGGACTCAAGATGTCTCGTATAAAATTCGGCGTATGTGTGGCCGCGGGGCTGCCGACAAGAGACAAGAGGGAAAGAAAAGAAAGAGCCAAGCCGATAAAAGGCACGAACTATTGAGAGCGACTTTCAGACCACAAGAGATCATTGTGTTGGTTTGGTATACATATAAGGTTCTTACGAAGGCATATGGGTATATAACTTAGAGGTTCACGTACGCTCTGATGTAACTGTGACAATAAATTTGAGCTGCACGTTTGTTTATTTTGAAGCTATTTGGACAGTAATAAGATGTGTCAAAAAAAACCATTTTAGAAATCGCGGTCTAGCGGTATTTTTTTCTTTGCACCGAGCTAAAAGTCATTTCATCGGCGTTATCTCTGAATTGGTTAGTGATCTAGATTATTAATAAAATTTTTCAAGCTCCAAAGTAACTCGAGAAACTGTGCATCAATCGATTACAATTATTTTTATACTCTTTTTTTCTGTTAGTTGCACGAGCACGAAGGCACCGATGTTCATCGCACATTAGACGCGCAGGAGTGGCAACTTCCTCGTCGTAATGTATTTCACACTTTCACTCGGTAAAAATTCCAATACCGTAATAGCAGAGTCCCGGAAAGCGGGTATATAGTCGCGCGCTAGAAAGAAGAAGCTCCAATATACGTGTACAGCGTGTATGGTGTAATGTAGGAACTGAGAACGCTCGGCTAAATGAGAAACAGGTACACACGTTGCGTGCGGCATTAAAAAAAAAAACAAGAGTAAGAGTAGAATAAAAATAAAAGGGAGCAGTTCGCGGGCGTTAAGGAAGAGAACGAGAGACAGAGAGACAAAACAAATGGATGTTCCGCATGTGTTGTACATTATACGCGTACATCCTTAAAAGTTGAAGAGGGGAAAAAATAGCTGTAGTGTGACGTATTGGATATGTGTACACGCATAGGCATATAAAACACACAACCGTAATTTTCTCTCTTTCTCATAAACGATCTGATGCGCATGTAAGCCATTATTGTTTGAGGAAGTCTCTTGACCCGCTGACTATTTAAAGCGCTGTTACATTAAAATTAACGCAGATAGTACATAATGTTATTTTATGCGACGATTATATGCACGAGTGAAAAATATCGCGTGTTTGGGACCGATGCCTGTGACGTGCTTTTCTATCTCAGTACTATATATAATATGTACGCAATGTTTTCGAGAGAGTTAAGCTTGACAAAGTTGTTGCTGCATATGAAGCTGGAGCTCGGTATGTGCTGTTACGATCACGCATAGGTGGCCGCTGGCACTTTAAATTAATTGTACCGCAAGCCACCCTATGCACGCCGCGTACGTCCACTGGCCGAAAAGTAACAACGGATATTCATTGTTTCAGCGCTTCAGCTCTCTCTCTCTCTCGCTATCTCTCTCATGCTGTCTTTCGCTCTCCGGTAGCTCGCAGGTGTGCTGCATCATGCTACTACTATGCACATAATGGATGCTCGCGCCCGAGAAATTGTTGTTAAATTTAAATAGCTCATTAAATTTATCGTTCAGTGATGGTCATAATATTTTGTTTTAAAGGAAAATGCACGTGTGAGCCCCACGAGTACAAAAGGCAGAATTAGTTTAGCCCGGTGTCAAGCGTATAAGCGAACTACAGCTAAAGAGTAAGTGCGAGAGAGAAAGAACACGACGTTGTCCATTGTCATTCGCTCTCGTCCCAACATCGGACACCGTGTGTGTGTGACTGTGTGCACGTGTTCGCCACTCCGTGTTTCCTCTCTGGCTATCCCGGGAGCGCAAAATAGCTCGAGCCTCCCAAGTACAGAAGGAGAAAGAAGGAGAGAGAGAGAAAGGAGAGAAAGGAAAGAGAGCACGAAGAAAATGAAGCTATGTGCATTTGCGAGAACGAGACGGAATTTGCGTCGTTTTTTGCAGTTATTTTGCGACTTCAAGCTCTTTACCTATGCACCTATACCTATAGCAAATGCGCTACAAAGAGAGAGAGAGAGAGAGAGAGAGAGGGCTTATATAGCTCGTCTTATATATCGTATATGGATGCAGATTCGCCAGCCT